GGGGGAATGAGTGAGTGGCTGCGGGGTGCTTAGTTGCTGGCTGGGGCTAAACCACGACAGATGACTTGGGCTAAATCCTTCAGATTCGGCAGGTTTTAAGAAAAAGATCAAGAAAAAAGCTTTTACAGCTTTTGTGGCTAAGTTGCCCCACACAACAAAGCCTCTGTGTCTTTCTTGTTGAACTCTCCCTGGTTTATGGTAACGTTTTGAATCCAGCACAGCTGGCCTCTTTACTGTGCTGGGAAACTTTTATATTTAAGTCTCATGATCACAGTCATTGTGTAATCCTTTCATCGTCTCTCTCTGTAGTCAGAGATTATGCACAATTTATTCTGCCTTGTCTGAGATAACAGGGAGGGAAGAACTAGGGTTCCTTACCAAGTAGGAACGTTTAGATAATACACAATCTATGCAGTGCGCTGGGGAGCACTGTGTAGAGGCAACCAAGTGGTAACAGAGACTCAGCCATGATCTGGCAGAGTTTACGGTCCGTGATCTCTGCCACAGCTGCATCGGTGTGAGGTCCTTGCACTGTGCGCCTTACTGGATGAGCCTCCCGAAGGGTTTGTTAGGTGTGGTGTAGCAGCAGACCCAAACATGCTTTGTGCACTTTTGTGGCACGTGTCTCAATAATACCCAGGCACCAAAGAATACAAAGAAAAGTTTGCCGAGTAGCTCTGTGGGAGCCATTTAGCAGAACAGGCGCTAAGGGAAAGGCAGTAAGACCAGCACGGCTGAAGCTAACCTTATGCATCAGCAGTCATGGTACATCGTGCGCAAGTGCTCTAGGAACGTCATGAAGTTTGTTCTATAAGGAACTGGCTTTGCGTTGTAGAGCTTACTACCTTGGGATCCCCACCACAAAATTTCTGGCATTCACTGGAAGTCGGGTGGCCACATTTGTACACTGCTGCATCTTTGTTGACGAACTGTGCCAGACCCAAGCTGTCTTTGCTGGAGGCCAGCTCCCATATCTCTGTGTTGGTTAAACCCCTGAGAAAATTGAGAGCTGGCAGTGTGTATTTTGACAGTAAACGTGTGTGTGTGGCAAGTGCGCAGTGGTACCATAGAGCTTTGTAGTGTCTACCTGGTAGACTTGCACATTTTGTGATAACCACATGGCATCAACTTTCATAACACATTACCATCTTCCTCGTGACGCAGCCCCCATATCACAAGGATTAAGCTCTTTACAAGTACTCTTTATTCTAAGATAAAAAAATATGTAAGAAACATGAATGATAACCATCCATTAGAAGAGGTTTAGAATAATTTGTGGCTGCTGCTATGCGCTTTTGATGCTTTTAGAGGTATCTATAACCGAAGAAGAATTATGTAGGAAACGTAAAAGAATAGTAACTTTGTCAAGTCAAGCTCTGAAAGATATTCAAATTAGTATTAGAAGTAAGGTTCTCTCATCAGCTTTTATATCAGTATTCGTGCATGTGTGTTATTACATGATATGGTGGTAACTTTTCCAATGGACACCAGCCTTCTATTGCTGTTCCTTTTTTAGCCCCTTCAGTATGCATCATTTTCACTATATCCACTTTATAGAACGGGAAATGAGACAGAGAGGAGGGCTGTCACTCTGAAGAGACCACCTGTTGTAGAAAGGCTAGATACTGACATTGTGGAGTGTTTTGCATTTTTATAGCATTTTATTTGTTCAAAGTGTATATCTTGGTGCTTACACACATGTTTATGAGTGTTCAGCGTCACTGCACATCTGGCTTCCAGTGTCTCTTGTCGGACACAAGAAGATACAAAGTACTCGGTTGTTCTTGTGGAAAGTGGTTTAAGTGACAAGTTCACAAAGACCTAGGAACACTAAATAAGTCTAGTTATCTAGAGTTACCCAGCTGCTAGCAATGATATCCAGCTTTTTCATCCAAAAGTTCCCTCATTCAATTATGTCTTCCATCTTCTGCCTTAAATAAAGTCAAGGTCTTAGGGCTTAGGGCAAACAGTCTCCTTTATGCACAGTTGTGTTCCACTTGCAACCCTAGAGCTCTTAGGTGCCTTTAAGGAGGCAGGGATCTGGGGAACAAACAGCATTAGATCACACAGTTAAATCCAAAATCTTCATCTGTAGGAACAAGGAAGTGGTATAGGTAAACTTAGTTCTGACTTTTCCTAATATTTACACCTTCACAGGTTTTGCTGGCATGATGTTTTTACAGTGTAGCTCTCAAGGAGTGTCAGCATATTCTTAAGAAATAAAAAGCAAAATAGTTTATCGTTAGGGGCTTTTACTGATTTTACTGGATCGTGGGCAAGGTCTTGTCCTCCAGGTGCACAATGCATAATTCTGATAATTAGAAATGTGCTAACAACTTGGCTGAAGCTTTAAATATTTTGAGAATCACAGTGAAAAAGCTATCAATCCAAGGTAGATCTCCAAGATAAATTTCAGTTCTAATTGTTTAAGCTTAGCAAAGTTACTGAAGACAGATCTTCTCAATCTAAGCAGTCTTAACGGCCAGCTTCCCTGGTAATCCTAAGTGACAATTCTGAATATTGTAGATGGATCAGGGGACCTGGCAGAAGTGCCGTGCTGGTGGCTGGCCCTCTGAGCCGAGTAATCCTCAATATTCCTGGCAATGCATCAAGCCGGACGCTGACTGCAGAGCAGAAAGAAAAGCAACTGTTTGAAGCCTTAGAGGCAAGAACTTCAGCAGGGTGGATAATCCTGGTATATGCCAAAGCACTTGCTCTCAAAATATATTATATATAGCTATAGAGAGCAAAAACTGAGCAAGTGGTGGTCTTGCTGCTCAGATTTGTAAGTCTGTCTTCAGGACAGGAATGTTTCGGTAATAAGCTCCTAAACATTTTATGAACATGAATTCATTCTCAGGAAACCATTGTGAGCTGCCTTAGTTGTTACTCTGCTCTTCAGGTACCTGAATAAAAGGTAGCAAAATTAGCTAACTTTAAAAAGATACAGAAACATCAGGCTGCGGCAGCACAAGTGAACAGCAATATGATGAATAAGTGCCAGTACATTTTAGTATGTACTCTTTAGGCCTGATCCTAGGAGTGTGTGTAAATAGCATGACGTGTAAGTCTGTATCTCAGACCGGATTCCGCTTGCGGAAGGGCCGAAGGATACACCCTGTAAATACGGTATGTTTGTAGATGCATAGGTAGCTTTAAGAACTTGATGTAGGGGAGTTGTTACCATTAAAACCTTGATAGTAGCTCTTCAGTAATCCACATCTACTTGCTGTGTGAAAGAATCCTGGTATTTTGGAGTTCAGGTACGGTATATAAACCTTCTGCTTGTGCAGTGTTCTGTTATTGCTGTGAGTATATTAGTAATCACGTAAACTTAGATTCTCTGGTTAACACATTTTGTGTTTCTTTTTTTTTTTCCAGAATTTTGTGCCATCCTTCGGAAAGGAGACATTACAGACAACGTTGGTTACTCCACAGTTTGAACAAAACGTGGATTACGTGGACTTCATTCATTTAAACATTTTAGAAAAGAAAGTTCTCAACAATTCTGAGGTTTTGGTTCAGTATTTGTGTTCTAAGCCTTGTATTGTCAACTTGGAAGCAGTAGCTTCCTCCGAATTCAGGAGTGGTGTACCAGTGTATAGAAGGAGATGGAAGGATGAGAAAAATCTTTACGTTAGCAGAACTCGACAAGTACATTTGAAATTTCCAAGCATCATGGTTTACAGAGATGATTATATCATCAGAAACTCAATAATAGTGCACAGTGTGATATTATATGCATGGATTAGTCACAAATCAGTTAGCAGCTATGATGTTGAGCAGAATGGAGACTACCAGGATGCAGTTGCCAAGAATTACACTTTTTTAGAAGCAGTTCCACCATTTGAACGCCCATATAAGGACCACAAAGTTTGTCTTCAGTGGGGTGCTGACTATTTGTGGATGCTCCAGGCAAACAGGATACCTCAGTGCCCTCATGAAAGTGGTAGGTGTCATGTCACTTTTTTCCCCCAATGAAACTAATGGGACCCAAATAACGTCCTTGGTAAGCTGTTAAAAAGTGCATACCTGTGGTAAATAGTAAATCTGATGTAGAACGATTTACTTCGCAAACATTGTTGAATATGTAAGCTTCATAACTGTGGGGTTAGAGTCGCAAATGACCGAAGCCACCACGTCCTTCAGAGCTGTCTTGTTTCATCACAGCCAGCCTGGAGATTTGTAGCAGCATGGCCTTCTGTTTTCTAAGTGTATTCAAACAACTTTATTTAAACCCCACTGATGTCAGTGGACATCATTTCTTTGCCTTCAGAGAGAGTTGTTCAGACCCTTCCTGCGTTATTTCAGGGTCAGTCTTGCAGTTCTTATATACATAATTCTCACACAGGTAATCTACGTCTGCTTAAGATGATGGCCACACACTCAGAAACGTATTTTTAAGTCTTTATAGTTCAATAAACTTTCTAGTACTTCTGCAGGGTTTTTTTCCCAAAACCATTATGGGCAAGCATTTTTGTTTTAAAAATTAATAGTTTTAAATAAAAAAATGTGTCTTGTCAATAGTATAAATTACTGAAAATCACAACTCTGTTTTCTAGATTTTCTCAGAGTTCTGATTTTTTTCTTTCAGTCTGCCTATCTCTAGCTTTACACCTACTGACAATTCTTTGTCCTCAATATATATTCAAAGCAGAACCTGAAAGGAAAAAGGCTGTTTCTTTCTAAAGCGTTCTCTCCTAGAAAATCCCATAACAGCATTTGTGTCATTTATTTTCACTACATTGGCGTGTAAATGCTCTGAAGACGAACAGGGAAGCAATGATGTTGCTGCCTTCAGGGGCTTTCTAAAATACTTGTTGGAGACAGCATGTGATCTCTGACAACAGTGTGAAATATCTTGTGTGTTATCTAATTATATTATAGATGAAAACAGTATAACAAGAAATAGGAAGCAATAACATCTTAGTCAAATTTATTTTTTAAAACAAGCTTGTAACAAATCGCTTGGGGTTTTTTGGTTTTTTGTTTTATTTTGGGTTTGGGGTTTTTTTAGGAAAGCTGATGATGTGTCATGACCTTGAAGATCTTTTTCCTGTTTGTTAGCAGGGGCAGCTTTATCAGAGTTATTACAGGATTATGCCTATCAGATAAGAACAGAATTGGTATCTATCCATACATACAGTATAAACTGGAGAGCTGAAAATGGAAAGCGAGTCCAAGAGCTGTGGAGTAATGTCACATAGTCATAAGCAAAGATAGGATGAGATTTAAGTGAATAACATAACTTAAGATTTCTTCCTTACTAACTGGTTCTTTCAGTATCTTAAATTTAAATGAGTCTGTTCTTTCCCTGCTTCTAATACTAGCTGGAAATGGACTCCATTTCACTTTCCATGGGTTATTCGGTCCAAGACTGTAATGTATTTAATAACTGCAAGTGAACTTGTGTTTAAGGACTTATTGAAGGTTTGTGTTAAATTTTTAATCTGTTGTGTGATTCAAATGTTTGACTGTACAAGTGTGAGCTAATTAATTAGTTATCAATGCTTGTTGTCTGGCAGATTAACAAAAATATTGTATTTTGCAGATGGTGTCCAGATGCTCAACTTTATATATGCTTCCAGTGGGGAGAAGACAGGAATTGTGAAGAAATTTGAACGATTTGAAAACAGAGAACTTGAGACAGTCAGACAACATCAGATTGATTATCCCATGTAAGTATAGGCAAATAATTGAAGCGGGCTGTAATTGATTATTGAAGGCTATAGAATGTACTTAAACTCTTACGCTATACCACAAATTAAAGGAATACTGCCTACTAATTTGAGAAAAGACTCAAAAGGAAACTAGTTAGCAGTTCCTTCTGTTCTCTGATTTCAGTTTTGGAGAGGATTAAGCTGAACTTCAGAAAGATGCTTACAGTACGTGTTAGTGCAGTGCTGTGTAAGAGATACCAACAATAGGTGTAGCTGAGCGGGTTAGGTACAGTTAGGAGGGTAAGTTAGCTGTTACGCGCTGTCATCATCAGACTGCTGTCTCATGACTAGCGAGCCTGGGGTTTTCTGCATTACAAAGAAACCTGCATTTCAAACATCATTTGCAGACCAAGTGTAGAGCAGGGTTTCTTGCAAGGGCGGGCAGTGTGGAGCAGCTTTTTCCCTGGAAGTTCACACTCTAGTTTATTTTGGAGCTGACAAGCCCTTAGTAATAGAGTCCTCTGCCTAGATAAGTCTTCCAGCTTGAGCTTACACTACTTCCTTCCATCATTCCTGTGTAAACTCTCCTAGTTGCGCAGGAGTAAAACCCCTTAGCCCTTGCACACTGTTCAATTACAGAGGAATCACTCTGGGAAGATCATCTTTCTCTACTCTTCTTCCCCTTCCCAAAACTGACACAACTCTTCAGTCATATTTTGCAACTTCAGAGGAAAAAGTATATGTATAGATATATAAATATATCTCCCTTCCACCAGATGCTGTTACCCCAATAACATTATTACAGAAATAGGAAATGATCACAGGAACTGGAACTTGCCTGCTGGTTTGTGTTTGGCCTGTGACCACAAGAAGAGTGCCAAAGAAGACTTGCCAAATAGCGCAGGTTGCATACAAATTACTAGCCTTCAAACTATAGCTTAGAAGTCATAAGTACTGAGCAATTTTTAGCTCCTGGCCTCTTCAGGACGGGTGACAGCCTGGTTTGCGCAGCCTGCTGCCCTTTGCTCACCAGCGCAGTTGTATTCTGCTTCTGGCGCTGAGGGTTCAAGCTCTGGTTGAGAATATATGGCATGAATTTATGCAGCTCTTTACCTGCTCCACACAGTTCCACCCTCTCTTGCCTTCAGGTGGTGTCTCCAGTGTTAACACAAAGCATTGCCTGTGTGTTGCAGTTGTGTGACAGCCTGGGGTAGCTCGGTTAAGAAAAGGAAGAGAATTTTCCTTCACCTCTCTGTGTGTGAATGGTGCTGCACCAAAAGGCCAACAGAAGCAGTTGGATCTAACTGAAGTTACTGATTTGACTTCAGTCAGGGATTTGTAAAGAAAGAGGACTGGAGATAGACCACTGTCACTTGAGGTAGCTACCAGTGGACAGCCTGCAGCAAGGATGGGCTGGGGCTGTAAGGGACTACTCGTGCTGTACGGCGTTCTGCAGCAATTGGGGATGTGAAGTGAGTCAGCATTGTCCCAAACTCTGTCCCAAGAAATTTGTCCAGAACAGTTACGTGCTCAGACTGGCAATCAAGGATTACATGGAGACTGCGGCATTTTTGCTATATTGCCAGAGATGAAAGATGAAAAGAGCAATATGTAAGCATAAGCAGTATTTCTGGAAGCACAGTGTTTGCCTGTAGGTCATAACAATCAATTTAAAAGTGGTTGTGATTTATAAATCCTTCTACCTCATCTATGTACCATCTCTGGCAGATGTGGTGGTATTAGCTGTTTAAGGTCTAGACTCTGTTGGGGAAAACTTCACCACCCTTGCATTTTCTTTTTTAAGCAAGAGAGCAGGTGTTAGGCTTTCAGACCTATATTGGTTTAGTTTAGGAAAAGATACAAGCTACTCTATGTTCAGCAACTTCTCGAGGGAGAAGTCAGGCAAGCTGACTCAATTCTAAAGTACTAAAAACAAATACTGACTTTTTTTTCTTAAACATAGAAATACAAAAACTGAATAATGTCTCCTTCTAAAAGTTACTAAGGAAAGAGAACTTCTCTATCAGAGATGATAATCATAATGCTTTGCTGGGTTGTACGTTGAAGGTACGGTTTTCAAAGGCGTTCAGCATTGGCCTAAGTACTATGGAAATGTCATGGAAATAAGCGGTCAAGTTTCAGTTAAAAGCAGTAATAGCAGATTTAGTCTGGCACAGAGGAACTCCTTAAAATTAAATACTGTGGAATGAATTCTGCTTTTAGTGCCTCAGCCAGCTTTGTACAGAAATTTCTAAGTAGATAATGTTGTTGGGTCTTCAGTTTTTTATTTTGCACTGCTCCATAGTTTGCACAGGCCTCACCTTTATTTATCCTGTGATAGCCCTGCTCTGTGACAGCTATTCATACCTAACTGTACTACCCAGAGGCTGGATTCATTTTTAACTGCTGCTCCCAAGCACATTTTCACAGTTGGCATTTAGTATAGAAGACACAGCTTGATTGTGGAAACCAGTACAAACTAAGATGATGAGACCATGCATTTGGGGATTTTGTACTGTAGCCTGCATGCAGGAGGTTGGCTCCGGGTTGTCTGTCGTGTTTTCAGTTCCCTGTTGATATGGGATCTGGCAGTAGCTCTGACCCACCATTCTGGAATTGATTCAGATAACACTCCCTTACGCTCCTCGGACATTGTTACTACAAAAGTGTGCGTTTTTTCACAAAAAGAGATCACAGCTCCACAAGTCTTAAGTACTGTTGCTCTGAAGGTTTTCACTGCAGAGGATGTGTTCTGTTCTGAAGGTTACATGTGTGAAACAGGTTTGCTAAATTAAAGTGAAATGCATGCTTTTCAAATTATATAGGGAGATTTCTCATCAGGAGTGGATTTTTTGTTTATTTTTGCTCATGCAGGTTCACCGTTTCAATCTGGCTATATTTACTGCATCACTGTGAAAAGGATCTGTGTGGTATTCTCTATTTTATTGATCCGAAAGAAATGTATAGTACTCCTGCTGTATTTCTAAATGAGGAAGGTAAGGGATATTATTAATGGCCTTCAGAAGGGGTCTAATATAGTCTTTATAGATCTGTGCCTGGGAATAACATTTATAAATATATTATCAGACCTATTTTGTGAAACTGATCTCTTGCAAAATGCTTGTTTTTGACTATAGTGTCTTAATAGCAAAGTAGCTACTAAATTAATAGGGTAAAACTGAGAAATAGTTGCATAGCATCTAGTCTTGACTAACTTCAGAAAATGTCTGCTTTGTCAGGAAAATAGACTGAGTCTTACAGGTCAGGAACATACATTGGGATTAAACGGTCTTACCTCAATGAACAACTTCTGTTACTATTATTGAAGTATTATTTTAATACTGTTCTCAATTCTTACATACATACTACATGAAAATTTTTGAAAATTTGCAATAGCCTCAGAAAGAGCCCAGATGATTCAAGGTCTTGCCTACGTTGCAATGTTCAAGAAGCACAGTCTATTTCCCTGATCCAAAAAAAAGTTGAGAGGTAGCACTGTCTTAGTCTAGCAACACTTGCAGTAGAGGAACATTCCTGCCAGAAGACAGCTCTTCAGCCTCTGATAGAGAATGAAATTCAGCAGCTGGGGGCTGGCTGGCAGGCCCACAGAGGCAGTAAGCGTGCAGAGTTTTAAAAGTGCGCACCTGGCTTTCTCATAAGGCATTGCATTTTTTCGCCCTTCTTTGCATGTTTCACAACTAATCTTTTCCTCTCTGTTATTTTTGCTATTTCTGTTTTCTCTGTCTTGTAACCAAACTAGATAACTCATCTATCCATTATAAACTGGATGCTTTTCTTTGAAGCACAAACAAAAATGGCAGCTCAACTGGAAGTTACCAGCTCGTTATGAGATCTACTGGGAGAGGTTTTAGGGCCAGTTTTATTCTTAGTGTTAGACTAGATTATTGTAATAGCCTGTTCTGGTCTTACGAGCTCAGACCAGAAGTCTAGCTCCTGCAGGTCCAAGTAGTGGAGGGTGGGAGTCATCTTGTACTTGGTCACTGCACTCTCACGTGCTAGCAGTGGAGTGTTGAGTAGATACCATTGTCTGCTGTTCCCCTTGCTGTTTGCTGCAAGTCATGTCTGCTTTCTGGTGTTTGAGATCAACTGTGGCACCTCCCTGTTTGCCTTATGTTTAGTGAGTTTGTCCCTCAGACAGCTGGTTTTGAGTCTGTGGTTTCCTGTGGGAGCCTGGGCATTAGCATCTGAGATGTGTCACTGAAACGTGGAGAGCGTTTCCCTAGGATTTTGTGAGAGCTGATGTGTGGCTTGGCGAGTGCCCAGATCTCTGCTGATGATGAAGAGGATGAAGACGACAGAATCAATGTGAATAATACATTAGGAAGCCCATTCTTAATGTTGATATTTCTGTGGTGTTTATTTCCTTTTTCTTCCTTTGTTGCTGTGTTAGGTTATGTGCATATTCAGATGCACCTCATGAGAGGAGATGACCTTGCAGTGAAAACTAGCTTCAGCCTTCCTCTGAAGCAGTGGTTTCGACTGGATCTCTCTTTTAAGGGTGGACAGGTATGCATGCTACTGAATTACTGGATCAAGTCTGAGACTTGCCTAATTTGATTATGCCTCTGACAAACCCCTTAACAGCTGAGGCTGAGAGAAATACTGTAATTTGTACATGCTCACATAGCAAAAGAATGAAAAATCTAAAACTAGAAATTGTCTGGGGATGTTCAGACCATCTGACTTTGCAAAATCAACTTAGATGCTTAAGATAAGAGCCTAGAATTACTGTGTATTCAGTGGCTATCTTGGTGCACAGTTGCTCTCCAGGGACTTTAATGACTGTACAGGCAACCAGGACTCCTAGCTTAGATACCTTATCTAGATAATTTAAGTTAAATGGTGTGAATAGCTCTTTGCAGAGGGACTTCGCACTTGGAGGCTTAGGCCTTTTTACCGTTCTGATATGAAAATTTAAGTGTCTGGGCTTCTGCACAGTAGCATGCCTCTTGCTTAGATGTGTGAGCTAACAGCAGGCATGTGCAGTTTCCAAGTTTTGCATGTTTGACAGAGTGGCATAGTGACTACCATTAAAAGACAAAAAAAAATATTGCAGTATCCCGCTGTAGTAGATGAAATACAGAATTTACATTTTAACAAATCACAATTGTTTTTTTCACAAAACCTTCAAAAGCAGCTCTGAAAATGCAGGCTCCCTGCCTAAGTTCTTGTCTGAACCTCCAGCTATTAAGATATTAGGGTGTGAAAATAATCAAAAAACTTAGTCTTCTGTTTTTCAACTTCTTTCTCCTTGAAAATGGTCGAATAGATTACATTCTGAATTTTAAAAATAATTGCTAGTTAATGGTAAGAACAACTAAGCAAATTTGAAGTATGAGGCAAATGACTGATAAAGCTGAAACAATGCTGTACTGAAAGGGCAATGTACAGGCTAAACTGCTGTTCCTTTTGCACCCCACCTTTTTTTAAGTATGTAAGTGGTGAGCAGATTGATTGTCTTGCAAGAAAATCAGGTAGAAATGTGTATTTACTTTTAATATAATATGCTTTTAAAAATATTGTTAAAAGGAAATGTGAAAAAAGTGTTTTATAGAATCAGAACTGTCTTTTTCTGCTTGTTTAAATTGTAGTTATAATTTAAGTTCCTGGGAAGGGGAAGAGCCTATGGGTTTTGAAGCTCAGCTTCAGGTGCAAATGTGAAAGTTACTGACAATATTGATACAGGGTACATTCGTGGAATCATAGAATGGTTTGGGTTGGAAGGGACCTTTAAAGGTCATCTAGTCCAACCCCCCTGCAATGAGCAGGGACACCTTCAACTAGATTGGGTTGCTCACAGCCCTGTCCAACCTGACCTTGGACACTTCCAGGGACGGGGCATCTACCACCTCTCTGGGCAACCTGTTCCAGTGTTTCACCACCCTCATCATAAAAATTTTCTTCCTTATATCTAGTTTTAATCTACCCTCTTTTAGTTTAAAACCATTACCCCTTGTCCTATTGCAACAGGCCCTGCTGAAGATTTGCCCCCATTACAAGCCCCCTCTAAGTACTGGAAGGTCACAATAAGGTCTGCCTGGAGCCTTCTCCTCTCCAGGCTTAACAACCCTGACTCTCTCAGCCTTTCTTCATAGCAGAGGTGTTCCATCCCTCGGATCATTTTTGTGGCCCTCCTCTGGACCCGCTCCAACAGGTCCATGTCCTTCTTGTGCTGAGGGCCCCAGAGCTGGATGCAGTACTCCAGGTGGGGTCTCACCAGAGCAGAGCAGAGGGGCAGAATCACCTCCCTCGACCTGCTGGCCACGCTTCTTTTGATGCAGCCCAGGATACGGTTGGCTTTCTGGGCTGCAAGTGCACATTGCCGGCTCATGTCCAGCTTTTCATCTACCAGTACCCCCAAGTCCTTCCCTACAGGAATCTCTTCATCCCCCAGTCTGTATTGATATTGGGGGTTGCCCCAACCCAGGTACTTGGCCTTGTTGAACCTCATGAGGTTTACACAGGCCCACCTCTCCAGCTTGTCCAGGTCCCTCTGGATAGCATCCCATCCCTCAGGCATGTCAACTGTACCACTCAGCTTGTCATCTGCAAACTTGCTGAGGGTGCACTCGATCCCACCGTCTATTTCATTGATGAAGATATTAAACAATACCGGTCCCAATACGGACCCCTGAGGGACACTACTTGTCACTGATCTCCATCTGGACATTGAGCCGTTGACCAGTACCCTCTGGATGCGACCAGCCAGCCAGTGTTGGAAATGTGAGGATTGCTTGTACAATTAGATTAAGAAAAAATATTCTTCCATCAGAGAGCAGAGTGAATTTATTCAGGTGTGAGTTAAAACCTGTGGTCAATAAATTTGCAGTTCTGGGCAAAATAAGGGAGCCATGAAGAGTTTAATGAGCAGTCTTGTGGAAAAAAAGAGGAAGTAGGACCAAACTTAAAAACATTTCAGTAGAGCCATTCTCTGGAACAGATAAAGCTGTGGTGCAGTTCCATCTTACTGATATGTCTTCCTGTGGTAAATTTTTAAATGCTATGATCCTCAAAAGGTACAGAAGAATCACCTTATTTAGGCACTTTTTGTCCAAAGAAGAGCAACGAAGTTGGTGAAGGGTGTAGAGCACAAGTCTTATGAGGAATAGCTGAGTGAAGTGAGGTTGTTTAGTCTGGAGAAAAGGAGGCTGAGGGGAGACCTTATCTCTCTCTATAACTACTTGAAAGGAGGTTGTAGCAAGGTGGGTGTCATTCTCTTCTCCCAAGCAGCAAGTGATAGGACAAGAGGAAACAGCCTCAAGTTGCACCAGAGGAGGTTTAGATTGGATATTAGGAAATATTTCTTCACAGAAAGGGTTATCAAGCACTGGAACAGACTGCCCATGGAAGTGGTTGAGTCACCATCCCTGGAGGTATTTAAAAGACGTGTAGATGTGGCACTTAGGGACATGGTTTAGCAGTGGACTTGGCAGTGTTAGGTTTACGGTTGGACTTGATGATCTTAAAGGTCTTTTCCAGCCTAAATAATTCTATGATTATTTCAATTCCATTGATTTAGATACATTTAGTTCAGCATGATCTGAGACAAAATATATAAATTAGGGAAGGTTGGGAAATTGAGGCATCAAGAAATTAAAAGCCAGATTTTAAGACCATTTGAAGATGCAGATGAATCCCTAAAAATACCTAGGCACTTGAGAAAATTTTGCAGGGTTGTTTTGTGAGTCTTTAGGCAACTCTTTACAATACCAATACCTTGTCTTATCTTGTCTTCCTTCCTGGGCATCTGAATTCCTTTAACCATTCTGGCACTAAAAGTCTACTGAAAGTACATCTCCTGTAGATGTAGGAGTTGCACCCAGATTTTTTTAAATCGTGGCCTGTTACATTAGCTTTACAGCCATTCTTCACCTGTAAGCTACAATTTCTTGAGGAGATCAATATTCTTTTCATTTAGCATCTCTGCTATATAAAAGCAAAACAGCCTTTCACACTTTGGAAGAATAAAAGCTTCAGCAAGGTACAGGTATCTTTTAACTGAACACAGGAATGGAATAACTGAAGTAGGCAACATCTGTGCTGTTTTTGCTGTTTTTCATCACTCAAGGTTGGCCAGGACAGACCAGTACCAATGCTTTCCATTAAACTCTTCTGACATACATCAAATACATGACACCATCCTTTTTAGTGCAGAGGAGATGCAACAAGCTGCAGCTGTAATCTTCTGAACTATGAGTTCAAATGGCTTAATAAATGTACCTTGTAATATTTTGTTTATTATAATTAATATTTTATGTTCTTTTAGATAGAAGTAAGCAGTGTTGGGAAGAATTTGAAAAGACATCACCGTCAGTCTTTTACGTAAGCAGCATTTTCCCCTTTGCTGAGTAATATGTGTGTATGTGTTCAGATATCGAAAATGGGAGAGGGAGAGCACAAGTTTGTAACTGAGATTCCAAATTATTTTCAAAATGTCTGTGGTCTTTTTCCACTCTCTGCTTTCCAAAACAGTTTGCATTACTGTGCTTAGATTGAGCATGAGCTGAATAATTTTGTTAATGCCATGAGCTAGTTGAGTTAACATGCTGTGTGATCTAGTACTAGAGTCTGATAACCCTCACTAAAGACTGGTTGGAAGGTCAATGGCATTAGGATCAGTCTTCAAATGAAGTTTTGGCCTTACTGTCAGAGAGCTAGGATTTCACCGGTGAAATTGTTATCTGCTTCGCTTAGGTAGAGAGCAAAATTTATACTGAAAATGTTCTTGCTCTATCCTTTATTCTAAGCAACTGAATAATTTTTTAAAATGTATCTTTAATTGTTCTCTTTCACTGTAATTTAAGATTAACTCTTTCTTGTGCAAATAATTTAAAAAAAACCCTTTTAATATAGAAACTATGTAACAGTAAATTGCATGGCAGACTTCAGTGTCGTTCCTTCTCTGCTATGGTTTGCAAACCAGAAATTGTAAATTTGCAGCTAGTAACCATAGGAGACAGATAACTTAAATTTTCGTATGCCAGTTTTAGAAAAGTGCAGGGGAGAGGTGGAACTGAAATCTTTGAGGTTGTGTAATGATGCATCAAACACCAGAAGATAGCTACAGGTCAGAGAAATAAAACACCCTGCTGGTTTAATATGTTTGTAGACAAGGGATTTGTTAAACTTATGCCAGAATTTATCACACTAAATTGCAGAGTAGATGTTGAGAGTAAACAGATGGGAAAAGAAAAAGATACTGGCAGTGAGTTTAAGGCTGTCGGTTACAGAAATTCTGAGATACAAATTTCTTTTTTTCTTTCATACTACCTCTTGATAGCCAGTTTACTTCTGTTTCATGTTCTCAAGTTTTAGGGAAGATTTCTATTATGATGACACTGCTGGATACTTTGTTCTTGGAGGCAGTGGATATGTAAATGGTATTGAAGCATTCTTTGGACCTGTGAAATACTATCGTCTCAATGTGTTGGAAACAGAACAGGTAAACAAAAGCAATATTTGGAAATGTTTAAATATTAGTAGCTAGCTACGGCTGTACTGTATTTTTTTTTTTAACTGAGGCTCTTAGCAAGTGATAAACTTGCTATGAAGCATAATAGTACTTGAGAATATATAACCAAAATATGATCATTTTCTGTTGAAATCTAGGAATGTTAGTTACCACTTCAAATGCTAAAAGATAAGACTTCTAGAAGTGAGTAGGTAAAGCAATGTTCCTAAATCTATATTTAAATGAGGACTTACTTTCAGTATTGCTTTGTTTCTGAGAGTTTTTGATGATACAGTATTGAACACATTTGATTAATTTATGGTTTTGTTGAAATCGGTGGTAAAAGTCACATAGGCTTGGTCAATTTTGGAAGTTCATCCATGGTTTCCAGGATTATGCTGGCTGTTTAAAGTCACAGTCTATTGCGGCCAGCATCAGGTTGTCTGGCACATTAACATGATGTGCCAGATAAGCTGACTGTAGTAAGCAATCTGTTTCCTTTAGTTATTTGCCTACAACACTTCTTTCTAGCCAAACATAGACAACAACAGATACTGTAGATGCCATTTATCCATCATTTGCCTTTTTATAGATTTCTAACCCTCTTCATGACAAAGAAACAGTGGAACAGATTGAACTCTACTACAAGAGATGTATGGACATTCAAGAAATAGTTTATGAGTACAGATACATTGTAAGGCAAGGTGAAAAAGCGCAAAAGAATTGTAAGTGTTGATCTATGAGATATGAATTTTAAACTGTCATCTTTGAAGACCTGTTTTCTTTCCTTTTACCAGAATCTGGATGACGATCATCAAAAGTAAACTTAAATTCAGCCATAACAAGAAAAAAGGCAATTTGAAGAGTTTAGCTTTGTTACTGGTAGCTAAAACTGTGGTTTCGTCCCTGCAAAGACTTTTGTGCCATGGAATATAAACATAAATTATGTTGTTCTCTATATTTCTTCTCTAATAAGACAGGTGCATAAAGGGACAAAGAAACACTTTCAAGCTTACATGTAAGCTAACTCAGTTGCCTTTCTTCTGTTTCATTCCCAAATGACCCTAAAGGCACATGTATTTTAAGCCCTTTCCCAAAAATAGGTGGGTTTTGCTGGAATGCCTCTGCCACAGTTGCCTGATGTGCACTAATTGACAGGTTTATACCAAAGCAACCACTTTAGTGAAAGAAGAGTAACGTAGATTAAATGTGTGCTGAAAACTAGCTTACGTTTCCAATTAGAATTCAATCGCATGCATTGTGACCAAAGTATGGAAGAGAATAGAAGAAATCCTATGTAAGTGGCCTGTGCTAGCTGTATGAGTTTTTAGCACTACTTTGTGTTAAGGATGTTCTCATCTTGTCCATGAATTTGTAGTTTACCCTACCTTTTTCTACCAGAAGCTTGTTTTAAAGACCAGCCAAGTCAGCTTTTGTGTCTCAAATATGTTGTTTTCTCTAGGTTACTGTGAAAACTATTACTTGGAGCTGATTCACAAATATGGAGAAAAATCCAAATGTGATGCCTTCATGTGGGGAAGAGAGCTCAGAGAAGAGTACCACACTTTGTTCAAACTGTTACAAGAGATGGATTTCAGTGCTCCAGATGGTAATGATATTTTATTTTATTGTTCTTAAATAACTCCACATTATATGCCATGTAAGTTAGTATGCTTAATTTCAGTTCATGTTTTATACATTTTTTTTCATATCAGCTAGCTTAGTTAAGGAGTGTCATGTGTCTTATATGCTGTGCTGCAAATGAAAGATGGCTTATTATGTAGAAGGAAATAGAGAGATCCGTACGTTTTTAGTGGTTAGTTACTTTGAGATGGTCTTTTGGATTTTTATTCACCCTTCCTATTCAATAGTACCTTGCATCTCTAGGAATTTTGGTTGTCTGCATTGAGAATACCATTCAGCATGAGAATTAACAGAATCTGTCTCAGTCCCATTCCGCATCCCTGGAAGTGTTCAAAAAACAGGTAGATGTGGCACTTCAGGATATGGTTTAGTCTAGTCTACCCTTGATTGGTTTAGGTGGGCTTGGTAGTGTAGGTTAATGGTTGGACTGGATGATCTTAAAGGTCTTTTCCAACCTAGACGATTCTATGATTCTAAAGTAAGGAGGGGAAATCAATTTCTGATTTTAACTCCCCAATAACTGTGTGCTCTATGTTTTATTTTTAGTGTTAGAAGACGGAAGTGATACAGTTCTAGAAGTTGGCTGGAGGATATTTGAGAAGGTTGCAAAGGGTCTGTCCAGCGCTGATGGCCTCAGCAATATGGGCTCCTCTGTCCCTCTCTTGGTGGATTCCAGTTGTTGTGGATACCATAAGGCTTCCTATTTCCTTGCAGTTATATTTGAAACGGGGCTTGGTGTGTCTGTGGATCGTACAAAGGTAGTCTATGTAATATTAATTACCTTTAAAGGCAATTTAGAAATGGGATGAGTTTATGATCAATGGAATTAAAAAAAATGTTAAATGGCCTCCACATCCAGGCTGCTGTTGAAGGGTTCCCCAATACAGCTACACCTAAATAGCCTGATGGCAGTGAAGTCTTTATGAAGTCCTGATGGTAGGAATCTTTATCCTGCTCATCCAGCACAAGGAAATCAATTATTTAGTAAGACCTAAAAATGGTGGTAAAGTGAACAGCATGGAACATACTACTTTTCCCAGTCACTGAGGAGGTAGGATGAGGTAATAACCCTCAAGTCACCCACAGTCATTTGTAGATGGGTATGAAAAAAGTCTCAGGTCAGGCAAATCTCCTAAAGTGGAAAGGTTGCGTAGTACAGTGAGGAAAGAAGTCCTGTTTTACAGTGTGCAAAAATGTGGCACTGAGTATATTATGGTCAAATGATTAAAGGTAACTGAAGTAGAACAGTTTTCAACTGACCATGCTTCTGCTGAGCAACTGCAGAGCATATGAACTCATGACCTTTTAGGCAGGTTGCAAATAACTGAAATGTTTCCATGCGATTCTATTGCAAGGTCAAATAAAAGGGAGGTGTTCATATATCACTGGAAGAGGGCTATACTGAAATTGCCAACAGATATTTAATTGTGATATAATAGTGTAATATAAACTGTTCATAAAGAATAGCAGATCTGCGTAATGTGGTTACAGGATACTAAACCAGAAGAAGCCTTGAGAGGCCAATCTGAGACCAAGCTCACTCCAGTTTCTCAAGCATGAGCAACCTTAGACAGGAGCCTTTTTTATACCCTAATTATGGAGTATACCTAGTGCTAATTATGGAAGCTAAGTAATTTCATTATTGGATCCGCTTCAGATAGTGTAGGAAATAATTTAATAGCCAGTGCAGATGAGACACCGCTGTTTTTATTACTGTGCAGGTGAAAAATAATACTAGTGCTGAAAATGGTTTCAGCAAATGTGCAGTACCTAGACTATTTCTAGCACCATTTAATGTGTATCTCAGGGGAGCTTTGTGCTGAAACCTTGTCAGCCACAAGGCCCATCCTTCTAGTCCTGTTAGATCCTTAGGGTAAGATTTTCAAGTGCTGTTTGTTAACTTCCACGTTTCCACTGAATCAGTGCGAAAACTCTAGTTGACATCAGTGAGTCTAGTTAAGTCACTACTGAGTAGAAAAAGTGTCAGAGTATAATTAACACTATATAAAGTGCCATTAAAAAATTGCTGCACACTTACTGGTGGCAGAATAAGTGCAATACTTGGAAAGGATTTAGAGACTCTAGTTTTTCTTTCAAATCTTTCTATACCTATAGAAGACATTTGAACTACTTTAGGGCTGTGCTTGATTCTGTAACTGTGTTTACATGGTATAGCTAGTATATCAGCTACCAGTATGAACACTCTGTTTCCTGTATATCTCCACCGAAGTGCTAAACTTGTGAGATGTACAGTGAATTCACTCCTGTTTATGTCTGTTGATTTTTGCCAGGGACTGCTGTATAGTTTGGTTGGCGCTCAGGGAAATGAGAGACTTGCTGTGATGAATCTTGGCTATAAACATTATCAAGGCATTGATAACTATCCACTTGATTTGGAGCTGTCATATGCTTATTACAGTAATATTGCAATAAAGACATCGTTGGATCAACACACTATAAAAGGAGAACAGGTAAAAGAGTTATAAGTGAGTGTATCTGAATTTGTTTTCTGTGCAAATGACTTTTCATATATTAATATTAATTATGTGGCCAGAACATTTTTCTCTTAATTTACAAATGTTAGCTCATCTGATTGATGTCCCTGCCTATGGCAGGGGTGTTGGACTAAATGATCTTTAAAGGTCCCTTCTAACCCAAACCATTCCATGATTCTATGATTGTTACAAAATTCCCCAAATTATATGTAGGTATCATTACTCCATTTCTTAGCAAGGGAGAAACCAAATCAAAGTTAGGCTCAAGTCCTCAGAATTGTCCACATGCCTATCTTTCAGTAAAGTCTAAGTCTTATTCTTGATCCCTGATTCGTTACTCAGATTTTTAATTATTAATACAATTGGATGTGTTTATTAAGCAACTGATCACCTGTGTCAGTAGCCAGACATTGTGAAGTTCATGCAAAAGATTAATTGTCCTCTCCATACTTACACCTTTTCTATAATCAAATGTAAAGATTTGGCTGTTAAATAGCTATCTGATGAGATAAAGTTACAGTAAAATGATTTTAGAATGAGCTGCTAAACAGAAGGTAACACAACTTTATCTGTAAAGAATACTTAAGGTAGGCTAGTACTGGGATCCTGGCTTATGAGAAAGAATGATTATTGTACAAAAAAAAAGGGAGATTTTGATTGCTGAAGAACTAAAAGTCAGCAGACAGCCACCTAGATAACAGTGCTGTAGGGCAGGTCTTCATCAAGCTTTCTGCCAGTCTTTTTTTTATCTTTTAAAAGAGATTTCTGTAGAAACTAAAAAGCCTTCAAAGGCTTAAAAGCACTTCTTTGCCATTATTAATTGCATTTAAAACTACAAAGATGGGGGGGAGGGGTTCAGTTGTTGACATCTTGGCATGTCTTTCCAGTGTAAAGTGGACTTACAGTTTTGTACTGTAATGAAGCAGTAAATGGTTTTTATACAGGGTGTAAGGATGGTTCTTAATGCACTGGCCAGCAGAGGGGTGGTGAGAATTTCAAAACCCAGAACTGATCACAAATTTTTCAGGATAAACAGGAAATGGGCAACATTTTCATTTTGGTGGCAGATGTATGAATTCGTTGTGTAATGATTTTTTTTTTCTGTTCACCTACTCTTCAGGCATTTGTTGAAACTATAAGGCTGATGGATGATGAACTGCTAAAAGCTCAAACAAAAGAAAATGGTGATGTCTTTATGTGGTTAAAACATGAAGCAACAAGAGGAAATGCAGCTGCACAGGTATAAAGTAATACATTTCCCCTCTCTTGTTTTTTTACAGACATCATGTATGTACATATGTAGACTATGTAGGAAAGTTGTGGAGGAGAGTGAAGCAGACAGATGTTTTCTCTTTCCACCCAGAATTGCTTCTTTTTTATGAGCTTGAACTATTTCCCATGTTTCTGTCTGATAATATCCAGTGACCATGTAAAAAGCTATGACAGTGATGCAAGGCAAAAGGGAAGAGTTGTCAAGACTTAGCAACATCCTTCTCTGATCATTTTCCCTGGGTTTGTATTTGACATGGTGCAGTTGTTGCTGCGGATCTGAGACCAGCAGCATTGTAATACTGAGCCGTTTGCACGCATCAAATCTGCCTTTATCACTTACGTCTGCACTTAGATCAAGCCAGACTTCCGTGGTACTGACAGCTGTAAAAAATTACCCTGCTGTAGATTTAGTATCAGTACATTTCAGCACTGGGAAGCCCTCTGAGTATTCCTGATAACCAATTGATTTCAACCTGTTGAGGACATGTAACTAGTTTCCTCACATATTTAAAATCCATTTAAGCCTGCAAAAGTCTGCTCCTACAATTCCAGTTTCAATACTAGCATTTATAACATTAGTGCTTATGTTGTTTTCTTTTAGCAACGATTGGCTCAGATGCTGTTTTGGGGCCAACAAGGAGTGGCAAAAAATCCTGAAGCTGCAGTAGAATGGTATGCAAAGGGTGCAATAGAAACAGAAGATCCAGTGTTAATATATGATTATGCCATTGTGTTATTTAAGGTAAGTCATGTTTCATAGTTTCTCTTCAAAAAAATCATTCCTATGACATGGATGTTTGTAAGTTATCTGGAGTGACACACTGTGAGAGTGTATACAAGTGCTTTTAGATTTACTCTGAAAATCAATCAATAGTTACTAAGCTAATGTTGATTTTTACCACATATGCACAAAAAATTTAAAAAGAGCAAGTTAAAAGCAGTTTAGTCACTTTGTTCCTAGCCAGATTCAGGATCAAAATACCACCTAAATTGTGGATCCTGATTTTTCCTAATGGCTTGTGACCTCAGAAATCTAACCAGTTAGTAGGCATAGGCCTTGGTGTAGAGATGTAGGTGAACATTTGATCTTTCTTAGAATGCCCTTTATTAGATCTCTGGGATTTTTTTTTTTTAGTATGAATTAAATAGTCTCTGCATGCAGTTACTTTTTCCCTGCTAGAAGCAGTAGACAGCAGAGGCCAAACTTGGGCATAACTCCACCTGAGCCAAATAAGTTGTTATCAGCTAAGTGGTGTCACTCATAAGACATTCAGCAGTACTAAAGGTTAGAGATACTAGTGAAGAACTGTTAGGTCTTCATCTCATTCCTTTGGCAGTGGAGGGCTGTTCTCTACAAAATGCTTGCTTAAGTTTTGCTTGTGTTAATTTTGAGCACCCATAGTCTGTTTGACCTGTGTCTGGAACTAATTTTTATGGAGATCATCAGCATAACATCTGTGTGTTTCCTCTGGAGACACTCTGACATCCTTTTTCAGGAAGGCTGAGAGCTCATACTCATTGTCAAATCATGAACAATCTATGCACCTTTGAATGCTATTTGTTCTTCCTTAGTTGCCAAAAATTAAAGATCTGTGATATTATTTACCCATAAAAATCACTTGGATCAACTGGTGAAATAATTTTTCTTAGACTGAATCATTAAGATTTTGTAAAGGTGTGAATGAAGGATGAGCACACAGCTGGTTTTTTTGTTGTAGCTGTTTAAAGGTGAATAACACCTAGTAAATAATAGTATCAATGTTAAAATGCATTTTGAATGTGCATATGTGAATTTTCATCAGCCTTTATTCTGTATTTGTAAACAATGGTTGTTTCACATATCCATTTCCTAGGGCCAAGGTGTGAAAAAGAATACAAAACTTGCTTTGGAATTGATGAAGAAAGCAGCAGCCAAGGTAAAATGTAATAAATATTTTACTGTAAAAGTCCTGTAACCAGGTGCTAATAATAATGAACTTTGATTTATATAAAATGTGTATTATCATAATTCTGTGTAAATACTAGTTGCTTCTCCCAGTGTCTTCACCATGAATGGTGAAAGTCTTATTTCCCCATATTGGGAGACTAGACCACTCAAAATCAGCCAAAATTTCTATGGAAGAAAAAGAACTCTCTCTACTTAGATCTTTTGGAACTTGATGATAGTTAAGTGACTTATAGAGTGAATAGTTGATCCAGGAGTTTGTTTTTGCCTCATGTTCCTAAGCATTTTCTTCTAGACCGTACTAGGTGTGTGTTTTCATAGGAGTGCCTACCAGGCTTGAGCTTTTGATATGGTGATCTCTCCAGAGTCAGGTAGAGATAACTGCCATCTTTGAAAATCCACGCCAGCAGGCTTTGCTATAATAACAGAGCATCTTTAAGTTGTAACGTGAATGAAAAAGAGTAAAGACCTAGGTCTGGATTGTACTTCCACAGTGTGCACTGAGTGATGGTGCGTTCCTGCAGCACAAGAGCTGAATGCAAAGAATGGTGGCTTCGTGTCCCATCAGCCCTGAGCTGTGGTGGTTTATGGCTAGGTCTCTCTGCTTAGAGTTAGAACTCTTCCAGGGGATGCTGGTGGCTGGACAAAGACCGTATGCGCTCTCTCTGGCCAGCTCTTCTCTACTTTGGGGAGAAGACCTGGATGTCCCAAAGCCTTCTGTTTTCTCCATAGCAACAGGAAACAATGACAGGCACCACAGACAAGAGGAGCCTCACTCCATTTAATGATCTAGTACAGTCAGATTACCCAGGCCATGATCTGGTCCTTAGCATAAAAATAAAAGACTACCTAGACTTTGAGTACCTTCCTAGCTCTAGAACCAGAACTAGTTAAATTACTGACAATGACAATAGGACTTCACTGCTGACCACCATCAGAAAAGAATTGTGCCAGATCTATCATTCCTTTGGAACAAGAGAGTCTACCTGTTCTACTGCCTGTTTGGGAAAGGCTTGAATAAACTGAGTGGTTTTCACAGTGTGATCAAAATTCCCTTGACTCAGGATCTGAAGAACAGATTCCAGAAAGCAAGCTAGAGACAACAGTTCCCTTACTCTCCTTCAACCCAGGTACTTAGTTTGTATGCCCCAGTGCACATTTTCTATACAAAAATAACACCATAATTATTGAAAAGTTTAACTGCTTTTGCATTTTAATGGGTAAGCTAGTAACCCTGTTCAAATCTGAAAGGAAAAGAAATCCTTTTCCGGAGGGCCTTTGTAAGTGCCAGTAGCATGCAGTTCTTTCTACAGAGATTACAGAAGGAGACTGTGCAGTGTAGAAGCCAACAGTAGCAAGCAAATAACTTGTATTTGTGCACGGGGATTTTTTAGGTAGCTTTTACCTTATGCCACTATTCCGGCGTGGTTGCTTTTGAACATACATTATAAAATAAGAGTAAATAGCATGTTCACATTTATTGGTACAGAGTAACTTGAACTGCTAGCGTACTTACAGCCACCATATGATCCACCAGTTTATGCAAGGAGACAGTGACACATTGCACCCAAAATAAAAACTGTCCCAGGAAGACTTTCTCCTCTTGATCCACAATTATTGATGCAAAGGTGCAGCTTAGTATTAGCATGTAGCACTGTCTTGAGCAGATCTGTATGGTGTTGGCTAAATACATTTTGAAAACGGCATCGCAAAGTTCTGTGTTCATTGCTTCCTGTTTATTCTTAGGGAAGTGTTCTGGTTTAAAAGAAGTGGGGTTTTTTGATCGCTAATCCTGTCACTCAGGTTCTGGGAGTTCACAAGAATAGGTGTCCCATTTTGGCTTTGCAGAGGAAACTGGTGAAAAGCATTCGCAGTTTGTTCTTGTCAACAAGTACACATCTGAATGCAGACATGGCTGAGACTCTATGGAATAAGACAACACTGGAGTCTTATTCCTTGCTTTCAATATGAGGCCACAAGGAAGAATAGCATGAAAAAAGCCAGCAAACCTTTATATCCCTTAGTCCCAGATCAGTGTAATTTTGGCTGGATCCTTGTGCCAGGCATTTAGATAGGCAAGGTCACGAGAGCACCCAAAGTCGAGCAGCAGGTTAGAATTGTGAAGTGACCCAAAGCAGAATCAAACGTGTGACCTGAGACTGCTCTTCTCCTTCCCTAAGGGTTTGCCCCAGGCAGTCAATGGATTGGGATGGTATTACCACAATTTTAAAAGAGACTACAGAAAAGCAGCCAAACACTGGTTAATTGCTGAAGAATTGGGAAATCCAGATGCATCGTACAACCTTGGTGTCCTTTATTTAGATGGGATTTACCCTGGAGTACCTGGTAGAAATCAAGTGAGTAAATAGTTAATAGTACTATTTCTTACATGTGTGCCCGGTTTAGAAGTTCTTGCTTCATTCTTGAGGCTGCTCTGTTCACTCTGAGTCAGATTTTGATACCTTTTATCACAAAGAAGGGTGTTACTGGGGAATTCAGTCAGACTGTTTAGAGAGAGATGTTACTCCAATATCTCAGTCATATTTATGTGTGTGTGTTTGTGTTCCTTTAATTTATAAACAAAGCAGGTGCAGGTTTAGCTCCGGGGACTGCCTCTGCTTTCCTACATCCACTGACACCGGCCAGGATACTGTGTACTCTCACATTGTGTGATCCTTTCGGTTTCTCTCAGCTTTCGATTGGAAAGCATATAGGGAAAGGACACTTTCCACAATAGACAAAAGCAGCAGAACCTTGTCCCTGAAGTTGTAATCAGCTATGCTACATTCACGTAGCTTCTGTGAACCTCAGAACTGCAGTAAGACACCTTCAAGCCAGACTTCTGTATGTAACTGTTTAATACAGTCCTGATAAACTACACTATTTTGATTTGTCTTTCTGTGACGCAGTCCATTTATTTAATTTTGCACGTGTCAATGAGAAAAATTATTTTCCCCTAATAGGAAGGGTCTACTTTGGTTATATTTCTTTTAATTAACTTTGCAAAAAATGCTCTGTGTAGGTAGTTCACAACTGACAGCACAAACATAGTGAGATAGGCTGTAATAAATGCAAGCAGACCTTGTGTTTGGAGCTAAAACATGTTTCCAATGTGGCCTTTGAGTTCTGAAATCTGGATGTACTCCAGATAGTGAGCATTGCTGCTGCCAACAGCAGCAGTGCTCACCAACACATGCATTTGACAAACACGTTTTTCTCCCTCAGGGACCAAAATACACATTTTGGAGTGAACTGATTATAAGAGTACACCTAAAAGTGGCCAGGTTTCTTTATTCACCGAAGCCATGGGAAAGAAGTACTTTGTATGGCTGTGATGGGTACTCTGAAGTCCATGCTCACTTACAGAAAACGTATATTGACAGTTAAACATTTCCTGGAATAAATTATTTCAGGCTGTATGCTGCTTTGGTTTACATTACAGGTTACTGTTTCTGAGTGTCACACAGCCCTCCCGCTTCTGCAGTCCTGGCCCTGCCTACTCAGCCTGTGCTGTTCTTTATAAGCCAGTTTCAGAGACTTGAGCACCGTGGTTGTGCACTACTGGACATACTGAGCATTGCCACTGCTCCCCAGCCTTCACTTAGGCATCGCCGGTGTCAAAGTCCTGTTCTGTGTCCCTTCTCCAGGATTCCTTATTAATCTCCCTACTAGTGAATAACTAATTTTACTTTTGTCAGTGCACACAAGGCTTGTATGCTACCAGCTGTTAGTTATACATTTAGACACTTTTCTATTGGATGTTCAATGTATTATCAGAATTTATGTTTTTAAAAACCTTTTTCCAGCCTAAACTATTAAAAAGTTAGAAGAAAGGAATTCGGTTCACCTAAGTACATTAAAAGTAGTTAAACTGGTTTGCCCACATTAGCCAATTGCCTCTTTTAATTCATTTGATGAGATGAGTCCCGGGAAACAAAACTCAATAAACATTAACAATGCAGAGTTGCTAATTGTGTCTTGTTTCTTCACAGACAGTTGCTGCACGCTATTTCTATAAAGCTGCCCAAGGAGGACACATAGAAGGGACTTTACGATGTTCTCTGTACTACATCACAGGAAATATGGAAGAGTTCCCTAGAGATCCAGAAAAAGCTGTAATGTAAGGAATGAAACCATTTGTTAAAGGAGAATATATTTCTGGTGGGGTTATTTTGATTATTGCTGATTTTTTAAGTCCATGGTCTAAATATCTTGTACTTCGTGGTGCTTACTTCCTCATCAAAAGGTTCTTCTGCAGTAAAGTTTGATCCACATGAGTATGTGTATTATTTAAATGACCAGTAGATTTTGAGACATGCTGAGTACTTTTAGTGCTTCTTTTTTCTGGAACAACTCGGAGAGGATGTATCTAACGAAGCTGTGCGCATTTGATTTTCAAGAAATATCAGGCTCCTGATGTGGTAGAACTGATATTTTGCATCAAGAAAAAGGCAGATAATTAGTTACAGCACTTACTAACTTTTGTATGTTTTCTTAAAAAAAAAGAAAAAGTAAGTAATTTTGCCAAGAAAAAACATAGGATGTCTCTGATATGCTCATGGACAAAAATGGACAAAATGTTCTCATTCAGTCAACAGTGACAAGGCTGATGCAGCAATTACTGTGAAATCCCATAGTTTACCTTATGGAAGAAGTCAGAAGGTGGTCCCACATCCCTTTGTGTCCTTTGAGTCAGTGTGAGTTGGGACAACATTACTGGAGCACAACTGTTCATTCTCTATTGTTTGTTTTTTTCTACAGCTGGGCAAAACACATTGCAGAGAAGAATGGCTACTTAGGTCATGTCATCAGAAAAGCTCTCAATGCCTATCTGGAACTTTCATGGTACGTTCGTTCTGTTCTCTTCAAGTTCATTTTCTATTTTTCACTTACTTCATAGCATGATAAAATAATAAACATTGCACTACTGCCTCAAAAAACCACAAATAACAGCACCACTGAAATGAGTACCAAAACACCCATTGACATAAAGGGAAGGAGGAGTTGACCCAAAGCATAATTCAACAGATCTGACAGAATCAAGTGAAAAAAAACGAGTTTGTAGAGTGAAATAGCATTGTATCTACTGTCTGTGATTTTTATCCCGTAGTAATGTAGCATGTAACGTGCACTGGATTAACCAGAGGAACACCTTTCACTTTTAATATTCCCTCTGTTCCAAAACCATACTTTGCTTTCTCTCTTCTGTGTAATTCCATGTCATGAAAACTCAGGCTGCTGGATTAGATTTTTCTTTTTTTGTATATGGTTAATACTATCTTTTCTGTAAAGTATAATAGGAGGCTACAATATCCAGTGAGCCAACCAAGAGGTTTCAAAATAGCCTCCAGGTTAATGCTCCATTTTTGCAGTGACCTGTAGGCATGAGCATCACGTACTGTACATGCAGGCATCAGACTGTCATACGTGATTAAGACAATGGCTCGTTTAGTCCTGCAGCCTCCCCTTGCTAGTACTTAATCGGTGCTTCAGGCTTAGGAGATCTAGAAGAAACTGTCAGTGGATTGTTCTGGAGTAACCCATTCCTAGAAGAAGTTTCTTTTTATTCAGTCCATCACAGACATTCCTCCTGAGACTTGACCTCACTTTTCAACACTGAAAAACTCTCATTTAATATTTTTGTGGCATGTTCTGATGTACAAGCCTGGGACTCTACCCAGCTCACTCTGCATACAGTCGCATGAAAGTCCTGTGCACAGGACACGTGAAGTATTAAGATCCCAGAAGGTCTGGTCTCAACAGCTAGGAGGAAAAGTCTGCTGAGTCCCACTTGAGATGCCAGTGACTGGAAGTGTATGGGTGGTTACTTGTAAATACTGGTCCTAGTCATCCCTGGTTTTAGGAGTGTGTTCATGTTGAAATCTTTGCTTCTGAATATTTCTTCATGTATCTTGCACGGGTGTACATTGTTACACTGCCAAGCGGACCAAGTAATACGTGGTCCTCAGTCATTGGTGTTAGCAGCCACTTGTTCTACACACCTGTTAGTCATGGTAGTTTGATCTTCAGAGACTGATTTAAAGGTCTTGAATGTAGGGTTTTTTCTGAATTGCCCTTTGAGACTTAAGGATCAGAAGAGCTAACTTCCCAGTTTAGGTATCCTGAATGCCTTCTGTGGTGCCAGGTCTCCATTGTCCCAGATGTTTTTACAGGGCAAGTACAAGCAAGAATTTGTGATCTTGAAGAAGCAGTTGGGAAACAGGACGTTACACCTGCTAGTTCTGTAAGGGCAACTGCTGTCACAAGTTCATTTAAAGTTTCTTTGCTTAAGCTTTGCTTGAAGTCAAGTGTGTATTTAACCATATTTGCTTCCAGTTAAACAAAGCATTGAACCCTGAAACTTGCCATGGTTTTAGCGCTCTGTTGTGGAGAAAATCACTGGAAGCATGACCCTTTAATAGGAAGCTTTAGTAGGAAAAAAATACACCAAGTGTTTTTTTTTTTTCTTGTAATTTTGAAAATGAACACTAAAGACTTCCTCTTAATTTTGAATGCTTCGTCTTCATAATATTAAGTAGATGAGTGACAGAGAACATGAAAGAGATGCTCTCCTCTGGAATCGTAAGCAGTGCTATACTGCTGTACTGCAACACTGAATTGCTGTACCGCAAATGTAAAATCAGCTTTTATTACTTGCTTTACAGTCAGTGAGGTGCCTAGAGTCCATAGAGGGACTGAGACTGTTACTTTGTTCACACATTCAAATATAATGAATAAAAATAAATAAATGTTATATATATTATAATATAATTCCTGTTCCAAAGAGCCCATAGTCTAAAAAGACAAGACAAACAAGTAATAAAAATAAACAGGTAAAGCATACCAAAGAAGTACTCAGGTGAATGTTTGACAGATATATACACAGCTGTCTTAATTACAGACTTTTTTTTGAAGTGGAGGAGTTAAGAGTCTTTTAAGAATGTTTTATCTGAAACATTTAAATAGACAGTTGGGCTTAATATCAATTCAACTTTATCATCAGTCTTGCACTTAAGAGTAAGTGCACACTGGAGCCAGTCGAGCTTCAATGCAAGAGAGAAAACACTGCAAATTCTTGAGACCCAGCATAGCTTGTTACACCAAGCATTGCCAGTAGATGTAGCTGTTGCATGGGTTTGCCAGCTTTTAAACCTTGTACCCAAATTTCGCTCTTAGGTGATTTCCTCAATTTATTTAGTGGGTTTTTTTAACTATATCTAAAATGCATGTTATTTTTGTTAGGTTTTTCACTAATTTATTTAATCTAACGTTAGGCATGAAGCTTTGCTGCATTATGTTTTAGCAGCTGAAACTGGGATTGAAGTGTCACAGTCAAATTTAGCACACATCTGTGAAGAAAGACCAGTAAGTAAATGTATTCACAACCAATTACCCTAAAAGGAACACTTGTTAATAATAATGTGATTCTAATCTGTTATCTGTGAATGGATCAATTATTTTCTTCCCAGGACCTAGCAATGAAGTACCTAGCAACTGATTGTGTTTGGAGATACTACAATTTCTCTGTTTCCCAAGTCAATGCACCCTCATTTGGTATGTATAAGGAATTCTTTCTGAATTCTAATTTTACCGTTTTTCCTAAATTTGAAAAACTGCTTTTGTTGCAGCTTCTATGTGAGTGAGCAAGTTAAGGGAAGAGTGATCACTGCTTATCATACATTTCCTTTTTAGTGTTTTGATAGGAGTATCGGGGGAAAAAGGTATTTTAAGTTTGTGTTTCAGCACAGCTTTTCTGAGAATTTCCTTTTTATGGCATAAAATGGATAAAATTTGAATAAAATAAAATAAGAAAGCTAAGCCCTGAGAAGGGGCTAGATATTTAGGAGCCTGAGCAATTGACTGAAGGTTTCAGAAAAAAAAAATAGCAGTAGACTTTAGGAGCTCATGTTGTTTATTTTATCAAAGAGAAAATCCAAAAGCAAATATACTTCCATATCATAATTGAGTCATGAGAAACTAATGAAGGTTAAAGATTCCTTATCTAATTTATTATGAGTTTTTCTGTTAGGGTACAGAGTTTATAAACATTGGCACACCTTACTTTGCAGAACTAAGGGATTCTCTGCTTAAAAAAAAAAAAAAAGCCTTTCTGGAAGAGAAGGTTTATTTACATATAAGTTACATTCCTCTGGCCTTAAATTTGACTACATCTGTGACTTTAGTGGCTAAGTCATTTTGGTGCCTTTGAAAGACTTATGCAGTATTTGAAAACACTGATCTGATTGATTGTCTCACAAGAAGGTTTAAGTTCTTTGTAATAAGCACATAGAAAAGTGGAGTGTAAAAATAATTCAAGCTGTTCATTTAAATACACAGCAGTGTGGAAACTGAATACCACATTGATACAGCCTGAAGCCACAGGAGCTGACAAACCCTGTTAGCTTTCGTGAGGAGTTTGTAGATGCCTTAGCAAGGTGCAGTTTGGATGACCCTTTGGCAGATCCACTGGTACAATCTTACATTAGAGAAGCTTCTGAAGGTCAGACTCATGGGGTGAGACACTGGTTCCATTCAAGTAAAGGAGAGAAGACTTGCTGGCTTCAACAGGGGAAGGATTTTATTACTTTATCTCTTCCTCACAGGAGCAAGATAAGGGGAGTCTTATCTCAGACCCCTCTCTGCGGTAGTGGAGGATCAAATCCCCAGTGTAGGGCCTGGGACAGAGAGCCTAACCCTGGCAGCAGAGATTCCCAGAGCTACGTTATCAGTGCAGCACAGGGTGACATCAAGACCACTGCCTGTGGCGGGAGTGCTCTCCAGGCCAGGGCTGGAATGACACAGTTGGTATGGTTGAGGGGGATTCTTTTCTTGATGATTCACTACAGAGTTCATGGCTTGTGCATGTGTGCCAGCCCATCCACGTAGTCTTTCTGCCTTTGCTGTTGGGTCAGTGACTGACTTGCTTCCTGGAAGAGCTCTGCTATAGTCCACTGTAAAAACAGGTGGCATTTCTAGGTAGCTGCTGTAGACACACGAGGCAAGGTGTAGAAGTGTTCCAAACCATTTGGGGAAAGCTTACGTCAGATAAGTGTAGACATGATCATGGGAGTTTTTGAACTCTTTAGCATATATTTGTGCAATGTTATGCTTACTCCTGTCCCTGTCTGGGTCAATGCCCGCTCTGTTGGTGCATTTGATTACAGAAAGATGTTTGTAAAATATTTGCTGTGCTTTGCTTCCTTCTAGACCAGGAAAATTCTATACCTGTCATTGCCCTGGGTTGGGTTGGATTTTAAACTAATGAAATGATCCTCAGCAAAGTTCTGTAACTTTTGGGATGGGTTCAGCCACCCTAGTGACAGGTACAGAACAAGCATTTAGACAGCATGTTTTTAAGTCTCATCAAGTTAGTAGGGCTAATGTGAATAATAAGGCTACAGGTTGCCCACAGACAGATTCAGCAAGTGAAGAAGGAAAACAGTATTAAAGTCTCTAAGTCTTAGTTTTGGTAAAAGTAGCAATATCATTCACCAAATTCATTAAAGAGAAACATGAGAAATTTCAGCCAGGATAAGTATTTTCAGTAGTCAGTCTGATGTAAAGTAGCCACAGAGACAACCAGAGAGAGAGTACCTTTTTTTTTTTTTTTAAATGTGCTGCTTAAAACAGAATTACTATTAACTTCTCCATCACATTAATAGTGGGTTAATTCTACCTCTACAAATACTCTAAATGATCTGCTACTGGTTTCTTCCGCAGCTTATCTGAAGATGGGTGATTTCTACTACTATGGTTACCAGAACCAGTCTAAAGACCTTGAGCTCTCAATGCGGATGTATGCACAAGCTGCATTAGAGGGAGATTCACAGGTGGGTCTGCAGTTGTAATGTGTTTATAAAAAAACATCAGAGTTTAGAATAATCTGAGGCTTCACATTAGACTGGTTATTCTGCTTGGCTACATCCATGCACTGAAGAGACCTGCTAGAGTAAGTTACAATTATTTCAAAATACCTTGTGAGTCAGTAGTTGCTGTTTCATGATAATAGAAGGTAAACCTAGTACAGATGGACAGTCCTAGAATTAGGCTGTTTTGAAGGCTAAAGGTGAATGGCCTAATTCAGTGCTGCCCTACCTTGACACAATTGATTCTGCTGTGACCTTGGTATTTTTGCTCCTGCAAGGGGAAGAATTAACAGACTGCTGAGTTTTATTCCAGTCCCATCCTCCACTATTTTAGGAAATAAACAAGAAGACTGGTCCATTTGCCTTGGTATATTGAGTGAATCCTAGGGTGAATTTTGTTCACTCCACCAACAAAAGCTTCATCTTAAAATGTTTTATAATGAAAAGATAACACCATGTCACATTACTAAAGACATGGAGTGTTTCAACACGGAGTGTCCTACCCTCAGACCCTCCTGAAGTGTCCTGGGTGCAATATTCTGTTCTCCCTGTCCCTATGACAATGTCTCCAGACAGTATCTCGTGTATGAATTTATTAGAGGTAGCATAGTTGGGTTCTGTTTTGAGGATATTGGGACAAAACATTACTGATAAACTAGCAAAGGAAAGAAGAGAGGCGTGAACAGTTACTTTAAAGTATGAAAGCCAAACTGATGGGGAATCCTGTAATACGTCTCCTGTGTGTTCATCTTCATGGCTCTGAAAAGACATAGGGATGCCCAAGACTTGTCCAAACTGTCAGATTAAGGATTTAAATTGTGTGGAGCAAATTTCTGCTCTCAGTTTCACTATTCAGATTGCTATTGATCTATAGAGCTAAGTGGAGGGGAATTAAACGGTAGCAGAACAGGAATCCATTTCTGCTTTCAGTCTGTATTTCCCCCATAGGTAAAAGATTACAGTGTGATATGGTGGCTGTGTTTAAAGAGCAACTAAAAGTGAGAAAGCTCAGACCTTTTTCCGGATGGTTTCTAAGAAAATGGTGTGACAACAAATGAACACTAATTCTTTTGCATTTTCAGTATTTACCTGGGTATATGGTTAGGACAGAAGGCTCTTGTAATTATTCAGTGAAGATCGCATTATACTAAATGAATTTATAGAAGACAGCTATAATTGTTTAGATACTTGATGCTTACATTAGACCTTAAATATACATGTGGAAATTTAATGGTTAAAAAGTATGTATACTTTTTTTACTGTTAGGGTTTCTTTAATTTGGCCCTTGTCATAGAAGAGGGCAACTCCATACCTTCCTACATACTGGATCACTTGGAAATTGATCAGGCATTGCATTCTAGTAATACTTCACTTCTTCAGGAACTTTATTACAGGTGAGTATTTTTTCCCCTTCATCAGCATCTTCTGTTTTTCCATGTAAGTAGCATTTACTTTGGAGAACAGCAACTCCTGTAATTATTAACTTTGTTCACTTGTATGATTTAAGGCAGGTTAAGGTCAACATGCCTGAAATGCTTAAACCCTAAATATATTTCAGTTTATGCCTGTTTTGAGAGACCTGATTATATGCGGTTACCTGAAATAGCAGGGACTAGATTTAATGATCCAGGAGGCCTTTTCCAATTCTGTATATTTAAGTTCCTAAGTTAGGCACTGGCAATTTGTACACTGGCCAAAACAATCTTTTAATGATAAATACAGCATAATTTTAATGCGGAATTTAAAAGTATGTAATTGGGACAATAGCAGTCCTTCCTATTTATTCTGCAAAGATGTTCGAGCCTGTTTCTGCTCACACTGTGCCCCAGAGCATCCTGGCACAGATGTTGTGGCACAGAATATTAGCTATGTGAGAAGGTTACAGGTCTGCTGTCTAAAGTGCCTGTGCCAGCACTGGTCATGCACAAAACCACCTAGAGACCTCTGGTTCTGGTACAGAACTTAGGTTTACCTTACCTGGGTAAAGCAACATGTGTTGAAAAGCACAGTGGGAATGGGAAGCTTACACAATATTTGGTGGATTTGTGGAATTGCCTTTAAGATATTTAAAGAAAGAGGAGTCGACAGTTAATACATGAGGCTGTGAACCAAGAATGAGTAGTTTATCGTGTGTTTTGCTACTGAGTGTTGTGTGACCCGAAAAAAGTGGAGATGATATCAACATCAAAACCTCATTTGTCAATTCACCAACAATCCACTGAAATTGTTCTTCACTGCAGTTAGCTTGAACTTGTACCCTAAATTACCTCCACTCCATGTGAAATTACCAGTCAGATAAATAGGGCTTCTGGTCCAGCTGGTCCATCTGGGATTGTAAGCTTGAGTCTGAATTACGCCTTCACTTAGGCTGAATCCATCTGCTTTGCCGTGAGAGTAACTCCAGAGCTGACAGTGCTGCAGGGATTTCCCATCATCGTACACTTTTGTCCAGAAGGGCACATCTTTTGCACACACACCCCCCCTCCCTCCTCAGCTTGGTAGAAAAGAATCAACTGTAGCTTAAAATAGGTGCCTGTGATTTAGCTGTCTAAACTCCCCTAGCTGGTGAAGTCCTAACTGATGGAACTGAGAAGCAACTCGGCTCACCCCAACACAGATACCTCGTAGCTAGTCAGCTGAAGTGCTCTTTAAGCTCTGACTGCGTTCTGTAGTACTCCGTTGTCTCTAAAGGGGTTTTAGGCACCAGTCTCCTGCATAAGCAACTAGATTTTGTACGTCTAATCTTGAATCAAGTCCTACTGCTGTTGACTTACATAAGTTAGAACAAAGTATCTTGGTGTTGTGATTGCTTGGCAAGGGTAGCCTGGATGCTTAGACCAGTTGTTGACTAATAAGAAAATAAAAATCTACTCCTAGGGTAAGGTATTCTGTGCTTAATGAGGTTAATCTGGTATTTCTATGAATTTTTACTTCACCATCTGTGAGATAGTGATGATAATATCTGCTTGTTTTTCTGGGTTACTGAGGTTTGCTGCAAAGCCACTTGAGATTCCCAGGTGGCAGATGCCACAAAATTGTAGAGCAGGACTAATTAGTTGTTTTAATCTTCTTGTCGTAGGTGCTGGAATAATAGTAATCAAGAATCAATTAGTCCATGCTCATTAGCATTGCTTTATTTTTACATGAGAGTTTTCTGGAACAATATTTTACAATCTACTCTGGTATGTATTGCTCCTTTGGCACATGCACAGTTCATTTGGAGCACTACCTTGGCTTTGCACTGCTCTAATATATGTTTTTAAACTTACTGTCACAGATCTACTTCATGGGGACCTTTCTTTTATCGATTCTGGCTGCATTTGCAGTGCAGTATTTTCAGTCTTTATCTGGTAAGTATTTGTCATAGTAATACGGAAGAAAGAGGGATGATCTTTTTATTTCAGTAAAATCTTCAAAAATAAAACCAGGAATTCTAGATTTGGTAGAGCTACTTCTGAACAGCAACTTCTTTGACAATCAAGTCATTTTTTGATCATTGAAAAGGGGTGGATGAGGCGAGGCATAGGTTTAAACCTGTTAGTTTCTGGAGAATTTTGCTTGATAAAGGAGATTGTTAATAAAAAACATTAACTGCAGGAGATTATGACTGGAAATAAGAGATTATTTCCCGTGTCTCAACATGCAGTGTTGTTTGAGTAATTATATGACTTGGATTTCATATGTTGTCTCCGCAATATGTGATGAGACTGTGTTCCCTGTTTTATATGACTGGATCCATTCAGATACAAGGTGGGAGAAAAAGTGAGGTTCAGAGAGCTGGTACATTGGAGTAACTCAGGAGGAGGCAGTTCAGCCTCTTCAGACCAGTACAGAATCAGTAAATACATTCAATCAGCACTTGCAGACTCCTCCTGTCCTAAACTAGATGGGTTTGCTGTACATCTCTGTTCTGATGGCACAGAGAATATTCAGGGACAGAAAATCAAACACCAGACTTCAGTCTCTTAAAACTCCCATTATTTTCTCACCATATTGAGAGAGAGATCAGATGCAAAAGTATATTGCTCAGGAAAGGGGGAAAAAAAACCCTACCATCACACGCAAAAATAATGAGTCATCATTTAAAAAGCTTCAACCAAGTGTTTCACTTTAAATTGCAAGACAGAATCTTGATTGGGAATTTGTGAAATGAATATTACGAGTTATGAAAATAATTTCTTCCACTAAATACGTTTTCTTATTTGTGGCTTAACCCCAGTAGGCAGCTTAAGCCTATGTCAAAAAATACTGTTTTCTGACATATTTCTGTAATAAAATACAGAAAAAGTTACTTTCCATGTTGACAACCCACAGCTAGAGGGAATAGTATTAAAAAAAAACCCAAAACATTAAATATAAAAAGATTATTTGAATTTTATAATTCCTAGATAGCATTTAAGACAGGTAGCTGTGCATAATATGCTGACTATGGAAATAATTCTGAAACCCTGCTTTCCTTTCTTACTAGCTGTAATTGATGTAATTTGGGAATCATACTACATATGTATGAAGTATATAGTTAAACTTACAGATATTCTTCTTTCAGTATTTCATAACCTTTGAGTATTATCTTTATATTGTGATTTTGTATCCACATAATATTTAAATATTGATTAATAGACTTCCTAGATGCAGTGGGGTCTTTTTTTAATAATTTCTTCTGACGTTTTTCCAAAGCCCATAATTCTCCTGGAACAAGACCAGAACCATCATCAGATGAACCTTCTTCTTCAGGGAATAGCAATGAGGATGCTACCAGACTAGTACAGCAAGATGAATCTACTTTTTCAAACGATTTAGCACAGCAGGATTCAAACCCTCAGAATCCTCTTGTTACAAGCTGAAGTGTAGTTTTCTTAAGGTTGACATCCCATCGGGAAGATGGGATATGAACAACTACAAATCTAAGAACTGGCAACCAACCCTTATTAGTGGCATTCATAATGCAGTCCAACAACCAGAATTGTAGGGGAATTCACTGATCTAATTTCTCCACTCTAGAGGAAAACCACCTCTACAATTCATTTAACACTCCAAACAGATAATGCAAATTATCTTACTATACCCGACACATGAGCATCTTGTATTTCATTGAAGGACTGGAAGAAAACATGCAAAGTCTTTGCCTAATTGAAGAATGAGCAAACCTCCCACTGGTTTTGATGAAGAAGAAATTTTACTCACATATCTAGTGTCTTATTAAATGTCTTTACTGCATTTCACCTTATTTTACTGGTGAAGTTACCAGAGTTTTCTGAGTTGGTACAAAGTGAAACCCAGTCACCAACACCTTCCAAGTTCCATGGTGCACCTGACAGGACTTAAGTACATGCAGTGGTAGCTCACCTTTTGGGCATTCTGTATTCCATCCTAACTCTTTGATGTGAAAAGTGTTCTGTTTTGAAAGAAAAGCACCATGAAGATTTGCAATATGATCATAACATAACCCTTGAAATGTCAAAGTTTCACGAGTGCCAGCACTTCCCTAGGGGTCACAACAGCTAGTGTTTTCCACTCTGCCAAAGAAAGTAGCTTCCCTAATGAATAAATAAAAGAAAATTTAAGTGTGAACAGGTGACACAAAGTGAATAAAGAATTTATTTTGGATTCTTATGTAGATAACATTGGAAAGGATTTATTTCATGTTCTACAGTAACTTTTAAAGACAGACACCTGTTTAAATGACAGTTTATTTGGTAAATGCTGGATGGGATCTATAGATAATAATTATGGAGCACAAATGCCTTCTGTCTGATTTAAAGCTGTCAGGTAAGTAGCTGTAGGAAAGGTCTGACCTTTAAAGCAGGTGTGCATGCACCTCTGCAAAATGATGTAGATCACAGACTATAAATTGCATTGATCTATGCATTATTGAGAGTTAAATCCACTCTCCTTGCACTACATTATTTACTCTTGTAAATAAAAATATTTTTCTAATTCAGCTTGTATGTGAAGGATTTTTTTTTAAAGTACCTGTCACATGAAATGCTGTCATCATAATATCTTGCTGTTGCAGATTCTCAAGAACATTATTTAGGTGTCTGTTTCCTTAGCTTCAGATGGGACAGTCAACCTTTGCTTCCTTTCAGGAATACAGCATTCTCACAGAGCAGACCTGGAAGAGTTTTTGGTTTGTTATTCAATCAAGTCATGGAATTTTTCAGTAAGAAATGAATTAATTAAAAAGAGGGGAAAAAGAACCCCCCCACACACACACACACACACACACCCCCCCCATTCTCCCTTCAAGAGAGATTAAAATATATATAAATGTATGTATACACATATCATCAGGGATGTTTCTCTTGCAGAAAACTGAAAATTCAAAAGTGGAGAAGAGTTGATACTTCAAGACAGCAGTTCCACTGAGTAAGCAAGGGGGGGGAAAATCCAGATGTTGAAGCTTTGAAGCTTGATTTTTTTCATTTTTTTGAGGAAGAACAGTGCAAATAGAATACTTTTTGTTCTTACAACAGTTGTGTATAGTGGCCATGTAACACATTTTGCTGTGCTTTTTATACATAGCTTGGTATCTCTTTCTACTAAGTATTTTGAAATGTTACAAAGGAGCTTCATTTTTACATCCTAAACAATTGTTGACTTACAGAGGGTATACGCTGTGCTTTTGGTATCCATTGCAAATGGGTCACCGCCATTTTTTGAGTCCGTTTTGAGTTGCAGAACCTTGTGTGGCTAAATTTGATTATGTCAAATTCCTTAACACAAATGTATGGATATTTTAAGAATCCTCTCAGCCCTACATTTATCACTTAGTAAAAGAAAACTCTGTATATGTAGTAAAGCTGGCAGGGTCAGCTGGTGAACCCAGAGGTATTGCAAAAAGTTAAGTGTAGCCTTTGAAGACAGGTAGACAATTTTCACAACATAGGCATCATGTGTAGGCACAAAATGGCACATACAGTTAGAGTGGTTACAAAAAACCCTAACTATTGGGACATACATATAGCAAATCTTGCTTGTAGTAAGCTACACGTGCAAGATGGATTTTACTACGTATGTCATATCTACATAAGTGACAGTCTCTACACAGAGAGTGCTGCTTTTCTTGAAGCGCCTAGTGAAATATTAATCCCAGGGTAGTTTGGTGGTGGTGGCATGATTGCAACCCACGTGTTGAAATCCTGGGGTTCTTACAGCACCACTGGTTTAGGTTGTGTACACATGGGTCAGTTAAGTGTTAGCAGTCAGGCTGACTACATTTTCCTCTCCAAAAGTAAGCCCATGTTCTCAAATTTAGCAATTAACTAATTTGAGAAGGTTTGCCAGAAACATGATTTCACACCTGTATTTCAGAAGACAATTGCTGAAGCTGCAATGTATTTCTTGACGCCAGCAGTTAATAGTTAGGTCTTTGTTTATTGTTATCTATTGCATCAGAAGTTCCACCAAAGCATAGTTAAAGTATGTTAAGATAAGCAACTCTTCACAATAAACTGGCAATACTTAAGGCTGAAATAATAATAGTTACATTATTATCCTTCGCTGCTTATAAGATCTAGGAGGCTGTTATTTGACAACCTAGAGAATCAAACAATTCCTGGAGAGAAAGAGAGGATGGTTAGTTAAGCAAAGCAGCTGCATAGTTCTACTACATCCACAAGGGGAAGAAATTAAAAAAAAAAAAACCCAACCACCCCATCCCAACCACACACCACCACAAAAACAAAAAAACCAAAAAAACCAGAAAAAGTAGTGGGCATCCTTATGTGGGTGATTTTTGTGACCCCTGCATGATGCTGTTTCCTGGTCCATGCAGTGGTGAACATTACATCCTGATACACAGGCATGAGTGCATGCTTACAGTTATATATTAATACATGTTGAAAATCCATACCTTGCAATAGAAATTTTTCAGTGATAAAAGGGGGCCAATTCATGGAAATTAGTCCTGGTACATTGATTATATGATTATTAGAGAGAGAGAGATATTATAGACATATTCCCCTATTAGGACTTCTGCATTCCCATTTGAGCTACAGGGAAAGCATAGACAGTCTTTCAAAGCACATAGGAAACATGGGTTATCTGTGAAGATATTTGTTTTATAGCAGACTCTTGTCTGTAGGCTGTCCTCATTGACTCATGGACTATGACATTTAACACTGGCTGTTGACCCTTATCCTGGATGAAATGCAGCACAAAGGTATGAAACGGGTAGAATAAACTGCGGCTGAGGAATTTCACCCACACACCCTCTCCTCCCTCCCATAAATGCATGAGCTCCATTAAGAGACTGGGATGTAGAAAGAGAACAGAAGGGCAAGAAACAGCTGGAATTTTTGAAGAACAAGCCCGAGTGTAAGGAAGCTGAGCATGGAGCAATTTCCCATGCTGACTTCTAACATCTAGATGACAGGAGAAATTCCTGAATAATCAACAGAGCACTGTAAATGGAAACACAGCAGTCACCGGGGTATAGACGTGCTGGAAATGCACCACTTCTTGGATGTTTACGGAAAGACCCAATTCCTATGCCAGAAGGCCAAATTATTATTTACAGTAAAAAAAAAAAAAAAAAAAAAAAAAAAAACAAAAGTCTTTTCACACAAAAAGAAAAAAAAAAAAAAAAAAAAAAAAAAGTAACAGCAAGTCTTTGCCTAAATACGAGGTATCTGTGTTAAAAGCAGCTGCATACAGGTTCATGTAACTGAGCATCAGAACCGGAAAAGATTGGGAGTAACGAGTAACCAAAATGGAAAGGAAAAGATCACTTGCATAGTTGCAGTATGTGCTTAGGTTACAGTAACCATTAGATGTGTTTGGGAAAAAAACAAAAACCCCCCAAAACACTTGCTGTGGATTAGCTATTTTGAAGCATTGAGGTTCCAAACTTAAAGCGCACGAGTGCTATGTGCCCATTAACTTAAGGGTCTTGGGATGTTTGGTAGGTGCTGTCAGACACCCATCAGTTCTGCCAGGTGAACAGGAGACGGCGCAAGTCCATTAGCAGAGCCTAGCACAATTTTATAACGGTCTGCCAAAGTAGGAACCAAGATACGTGCGCAATGTTTTCTATCTGTTCATTATGGCATGGCCTTGAGTCATGGCTTTACACAGCAAGTATCTTTAATTGTGCAAGTTAGAAGCGCGTCTACCTGGATAGATTGTATTAATAAACTAATGAAGGCCAGGCTCCGCTGTCTGGCTGCGAGTAAACTCTTCCTGAGAATCCAGTTGCCTTGTGTACTGCTTGTTGGGACCGGTCCTGGTCCATAAAACCTCCCGAATGGTGCCGGGCCGTTCTCTAGGAGGGTGCTACTCGAACAGGTCCAAGTTAGGCCAGGAAGCACACTGCCAAATAGTGGAGAGGATCATGAGCCAGTGCCCAAGCATATCCTTTAGGCCTTGTTTAGATTAATTGTGGGGACAAACAGACTGCTGGCCTCCGATTTAGGCTGCGAGGCTCCATCGCACCCCCACGCCCCAAGCGACCGCTCTAAGATCAGCCCTTCCGATGTCACCAGCCCGTTGATCAGCGTGCGCCTTCCAGCTGCCCAGGCACATTCAGAGCTGTTGTGAAGGCTTGCTGTCCTGGTTTCGGCTGGGATAGAGTTAATTTTCT